GGTGCAGGGGCCATTGCCTGAGGAAATTCTATGGGGTCTACCCCTGAGGGGGGGAAAGTGCAAACATTGTTTTAAAATGAACAATGATGTAAAAAATATATATATAAAGAAATTTTAAAAAGAAAATAGAATTATACTAACACTTCAAGAAAAGTACTCAACTCTACACCAGTTAGGAATTGTTTATGTAACCTGTTTTAAGATCACCAAGGAAAACTGTAAAATTAAAATGACACCAAAGATTTAAATAAATGCCATGACTTCCAATAATGACTTATAAAAATTACGCTAATCCCTGCACCAGAACCTATAAATTTGAAGTAATTTTAATCAGTATTCTAACTGGATGGTTTGAGCAATAAACATTTTCCTGGACATCGTATGAAAGAGTAAAGGCAGAATATCCAAGAGGCTACAAATCCATCATAATAAAAGCCATCTGGCTCTGGCAGTGGGGCCTGGGCTGGCTTCGGGCTGGCTTCGGAGGTATGTGACCTTTCCCTTCAAACTTTCCCACACTTAAAAGGGCCTTGTGTTTGCTTTAAATGTGATTTGCTGTCACCATCTTGAATTTCTTAATAAATTTTAAACCAGAGGCCCTCGACCTTCCTTTCCTATTACCCTGCAACGGTGATATAGTTGGCCATGACCAGAACAGATAAAACAAAACAGAGCTCAGAGGCTGATCATGTAGATAAGAGTCTCTGATGTAAGGAGAAAGTTCCGTCAGAGATTCACAGAGAAAGGCGAAGTGGTTTAGGGATGGTTTGAAAATAACCACTTGGTTTTTGTTTTGCTGTTTTGTTTTGATTTTTTGAGGAAAAAAACACACCTAAGATGCAGAAGGGTTAAACATTTAAATATGATCTTGTGTCTAAATGTGTCTAAACTATGAAGACAGTAGACGATAGTCATGTTAGGGAGTCTGTGACTGCCGGGGGATAGAGTTTTGTAACCAAACACCCAAGCACAGTCAATAAGGCAAAATAATGATGGTTTTGATTACCCCCAAATAAGGATTTTTTTCCAGGTAAGGACAAGAGAGAACTTGTGGAGCGTAGCTGTTTTCAGTGACACAGATAGTCAGGGACCAACATAAAAAGTAATATGGAGGCACAGCAAATCAAAAAGAGAAAAATCATTAAAAAAGGGGGCAAAGGATACCACAAGCCAGTACTTTATATAGAGGAGAGGCCATTTCCATGGCTGGTAGCAAACCAAAATATCCCGACTTACTTGTAAGCAGAGAGATGAAAATTCAAACAATTTGACACCATTTTATATCTATTTTTTAAGATTCATTTATCTATGCATGCAAGAGTTGGGGGTACAGGCCAGAAGGGGAGGGAGGGGGCAGCTGGACCGGGATGTGAGAGGCTTCACCAGAGACAGATTGGGGAGCAGAACCGGCAGATGGACAAAATACACTGCTGAGGGGAGCAGCAGGCGGGTCAGGAGAGGTCTGCCGCGCCTGAGGGCCAGCGCCCTGGCCGGGGATGAACTCCTGCTGCAGGGGCTGGTGATAGCGCCATAGTGCTGCGTCTGAACCCCTTGAGCCACCAGGGAAGCCCCGTTTTTTATCTATTAACTGTTCCAAAATGAGAAGCTGGGAGCCAAGAGGAGCCCGGAGCCCGGAGGTGCGGATGTGCCAGCCGGTCCTGACGGCGAAGGCGGGGCCCGCTGCCTCCGGACCTGGGCACTGCGGCCATCCTGCTCCGGAGGTAAGTGTTTGAGCTAAACCCTACGTCTTGGGGTTCATCTCCGTGTTTCTGTGGGCTGGTGTTCATGTACGTGTCCGAGCAAGAAAGACAGAGGTTTAAAATGTGACAGACCATTGCCCAGTGGTTAGAACCTGGGGCTGATACGCCCTGAACAGCAGCAATGGAGCAGGACGCAAAGAGGAGAGCAAGCACTGCACCTGTCACGCGTCACAAACGCACTGGCAGTAAGCAGGAACACGTGCAAAGGAGAGATAACACAGGGTCGGAGGAGTGGGAGGAAGGGAGAGAACAAGGGGGAGATGAGGGAGGTGAAATGACTTCAATAGCGAAGGAAAGAAGGCTACGTGGAAACACAGACAGACCTGCAAGAACAGGGCTCGGACGCCCCTTCCAGGGCGGCTGATGAGACTTTATCCTTCCGCTCCTAGAAAAAGCAGCTCTCTCTAGAGGAAGGCCCCATGGAACTGGATGAAAACATTCAGACATGAGTGCTTGCTTTTGTCTGTCTGGGGAAGACAGAAAAGTGGCCCACTTTTACTTATTTGTTTTTCTTTATTTTTAAAAGATGTGTTCATTTATGCATCCAGGACTGGGGTACAGGCCAGAGGTGCAGGGCTAGTGAGAGGCTTCACCAGAGACAGAGTGGGGAGCAGGACAGGTAGATGGACGAGGTACACTGCTGAGGGGAGCAGCGGGCGGGTCAGGAGAGGTCAGTCGCGCCATGTGGTCACCTCCAGGACGGGGATCAAACTGTCACTGAAGCGACTGCCACTGGCTTGCGCCACCAGGAAGGGCCAAACCTGCCCACTTTAATTACATCTTTTTCCTCTCACCAAACATTTATCTTTAAAAGGAAACCCAGCTCTTACCTCCACAGACCAGGCAACCAGCTCATGTTCTAACCTCGACGAGGAAATGGTTGTGGAAGCCAAAGGCAGGCTCGAAGAGCAGCATCGGTCTGGTTCTGTCCAAAGCCGGAGGGTCCGGAAGGTGTCGTGGAGTGTCTGTCAAGTCACTCCAGAGCAATACAGATGGCTAACACCGCCTACTTCTTTTGCTTTGAAATCTAGTGTATGACTCCACTGGAAAACTTGGGAGCAACGTGCTTCACGGGAACATGGACAGGCTGGGGTCGTACAGCGAGTGCATCTCCGCCCAGGCGGAGAGCGGGGGCTTCCAGGGCCAGTACTGCAAGCTTCAGCTTCCGCAGGTGAGTGTGGCCCCATCATGCCTTCAGCGACTAGCGAATGTTGTGATTGGTGACCCAGCGCAGCTCCCCGAATGCTTTACTTAACTGAAAAACAAACAAAAGACACCTGTTCGGATGCTTTGCAAAAGTTAAAAATAGATGAATGCTCCCCAGAACGGTGAGGGAGATGCCCATGGAGAGAGAAATTTAAACTTAAATGTCTTTTTCAAACCATGCACACAAAAATTAAAGACTGCTGTGGCCTTGCGTTCCCCAGGGTGAAGTCTACTACAGCATGGGCCTGTGTGTACCTGATTCTTGTTCCGAAGAGGATGTGACCGCACTGTCTCAGCTGGGTAGGCCCAGAGGGATACGCAGTGAAATTCTTGTCTCAGCATAAGGTTTGAATTCCCCCAACTCCTGGGAGCCAAGGTGGGCCATTCCTTCCCACTGAGCCTGCCTTTCATCGTTATAAACCCAGTGAGGCAAGACTAGTGGACTTTTGGGGACTTGGGAGGAGAGGAAGAGAGTTGTTAGGGAGGAGAAAGACGACAAGATTATTTTGTAATAGAATTGTGCTCCGAGTTCACTCCCCAGCCAGGGGGTGACCCACATGGCACAGCAGACCTCGCCTACCCTCCCGCTGCTCCCCTCAGCAGTGTACTTCGTCAAGCTGCCTGTTCTGCTCCCCACTCTGTCTCTGGTGAATCCTCTCACCTCCACACCTCTGGCCTGTACCCCAGTTCTGTATGTATAAATAAATAAATCTTATAAATCTTCCTCACCGACCACTGCCTGTTAGGTCTGAAGATAGGAGGTGGGTGGTATTCAGTTTCCATATTGTGTTTTCCGTGGTGGCTCATGAGTGGCCATTGTGAACTAGGAGTGTGTGAGGTGTTGTGTTGTGTTGTGTCGGCTTAGCGTCAAGCCCAGCAATGGTCCTGGTTATTCCCTCCCAGCTGTGTGATCCTGAGCAAGTCACTTATTCCCCCAAGCTTCAGTCTCTTCACCTGTACAGAGAGGCGACAAACTTGAGTCTGGTTCTAATGTGCTGCTTTACAGTCGCTTCTGACCTTAACCAGAAGTCAGAGTCCATCGTAGTTCACATGAAAACTGATTTGATCCCCTCAAAATCTTTCAAATTTTTCAAAGGAAGAGCTTTGAAGCCCAAGATTTTTGCCATTAGTATCATCTGCGTTTATTCTGGTTCTCCAAATGAGAACTAACACTTTACATGAGAAGGAAAACACTGTTTTTCTAGTCCAGACCACTTCCGGCTGCTAATGTGCGGTTTCCCCCTCGAGGAAGCAATTCTGACATTAACCACTTGGGGTGGTGTTGATGTCCCAGATTAAGGGTTAAACCCACAGACTGTCCCCCACTCCAGACAACAGTCAAAGGTGGAGAACGAGGTTTCTTTCCAATCTGGCTACAAATCAGAAGGTCCCTGAACACGCTGCTCAAATTCCATAATTTGCTGTCACCACCCATGGAGAGCAGGGAAACACTTCCTTTCGTTTCTGGTTTATTCTAAAGGATAAAGCTCAGAAACAGACATATGGAAGAAATACGCAGGGCAAGGATATGGGAAGGGCACAGGCTGCCCACCCCCCTCAGGAGAAGAGCAACTCTTTCTACACCCCCATGGCTTTCTAGACATTTTATGGAGGTCCCATTATTTAGGCTTGATTGATTGAATCACTGGCATTGGTGATCAGCTGAACTCCCAACCCCTCTCTCCTCCCTAGAGGTTGGGGATGGGGCTGAAATCTAATCTGGTCATGGTGTTGGCTCCTGTCACTGCTCCTTCTCCAAGCGTGACCTTATCAGCCTAAACTCAGATTTGATCTAAAAGTCCTCAAATTAGCTCCTCTCCCTCCTCCCACTCAGGGTGTTAGAAGGGATCTGGGAGCTGTGTGCCAGGGAGAGGCAATGAAGCACAAATGCAGCTTTCTTACTATCTCATAATTTCACACACGCTATTTAGAGTCCTCTTTTAAAGTATTACTATGAGTTTTCAATAATCTTAAGTGGACCTCTGAATTGGTGATTAACTCCAGGGTTCGGGCACATTATTTATCTATTTATCTAGTCGCATATTTTATGTGTTGCTAAAAAGAAAACCAGTGGTCATACATCATATATCAGCTTGAATTCTTGTTGGACAAACTAATGTTCTAGAAACATAAATTTGCAGAGCTGTTGTCAACATTTATTAGTATCGCAAGTCAACCCATAACTCCCTATAATTGAGATTTACTTATTAGCTGGCTAAGGCTACTTTTAATAGTCATAGCTGACATTAGGATAGAGTAGATGGTAAGAAGCAATTATTAGAAATAAAAAGATCTTTGGGGGAAAACAGGCTGCTGGTTTTCTTTGTGACTTGGAAAATGGAAAGACACAGTTAAGGCTTCCTGGTGGGTGGATTAGTGGCACTTGGTCTTGGCTGTCCAGGGCTTTTGCTGGCTTAGCACAGAGGCTGCCGACAGACACAGGACTATCTCTGCCCAGGGGAGAAGGTCCCCATCTGGAACGGATTTGTCAGCTACCCCTTAAAGCTTTTTGTTAGAGTCACCAATGTTTTCTACAGATGTGGCAACCCTGAGCTTAGCAATAGCAGGCAGAGGCAGCTGTGCAAACATCTGGAGCAGGAGAACCGGGGTTCACATGTGGAGACTGTAGCCAACAAACCAAGAACTGAGCCCAGTATGGCCAAGAGAGGGAAAGGGATCCTGGACAGGTCAGAAGTTATAGCTTTTAGGCCAGAAAACCACACAGCCTGAAGTTTCAGCCTATGGGCTTTGCATGTTCCTGAGAATAAGAATATGTCACTTCAAAGTGGGCATCTAGATAAAATTCATGTGTGACGGTCCCCAGCCAGGTTGTGGTCTCACCCCCCACAACTCACCTCTGTGTATTTCAGCAACACTTACTGTGTTGGTTTCCTGGGGCTCCAGACACAAAGTAAAGGGGGACTTAGATATATCACCCCAATCTCTACCGCTGTCATCAAGTGACATTTGTGCCTGTGTGTCTGTGTCCACATTTCCTCTTTATTTAAGGACATCAGTCACACTGGATTTGGGGCCCTACAAAATCTAGTAAAGGCTTTTTTTTAAGTTGAGCACATCTGTAAAGATCTTATTTCTAAATAGGCCGCACTCACAGTTCTCAGAGCTTAGGATTTAAACCTTTGAGACGGACCTAATTCAACCGCAAACATTATCTCATAGCTAGTTTCTAGTTTGGCTAGATTATCTGAGATCCCTTAAATGAGACAGGGATTCAGTGACTCACTGCCACTTAGCTCAGGGTCTGCCATTAGAATGTGCTAGATGAGCATTAGATTAATCTGAACAAAGGCAACCCCCCCCCCTTACCAACTCATGGGGACAGGGGTGGGATAGCTTAGAGCTGAAAAAGAAGGGGTTTGGCTTAACACTGAGCTAGCAGATTTTATCTAGGTTGGACTTTGAGGGGCTCAGTACTTCTATCCTGAGAGACTCACCCTCAGTGTTCCTCCTGGGAAGTTTCACACCCTTGTTTGATGATCACACTGTCCCAGCTTGGAGGGGCAGAGAGCAATGAGTTCTGAGCCACTCAACAATCAATGTTTACAAGCCTTTTACCATAAGCTACCAAGTGGGTACAGGCCAGAGTTAGGGGTGGGTGAGAGGATTATTCACCAGAGGCAGAGTGGGGAATAGAACAGGCAGATGAGTGAAATACACTGCTGAGGGGAGCAGTGGGAAGGGGAGGCCTGTCGTGCCATGTGGGTCACACCCCTGGCTGGGGATTGAACTTGTGCCGCAGTGGCTGTGGACAGCTTTATAGTGCTGCACTTTAACCCCTTGCACCACCTGGGAGGGCCCCTGTCAGGCGAATTTCATCTTGGAGTGGTAGAAATGCAGATCTCAGGTTCCTCCCGGACCTGCTGGGTCAGCAGCCTGCAGAGGGGAGGCAGCAATTGTTTAGCAGCCCCCAGGTAACTCTGAGGTTGCTGAAGTTCCCATCCCCACTCCAGGCCTGCCGCCAGCATCTTAGCAAAGGATTTCTTTTGGTGACTGACTAATTAGCTGCGTCCTCATTGGGGCTTCTGAGCTTCATTTTAAGGGGTACTTTCCCCAGCCCACGGACATCGGTTGTCGTTTTCCATCCCAGCTTGCACTCTTCTCTCTTGCTGTTAAAAAACGGAATTGAGGCCTTCCCTGGTGGTGCAGCGGGTTAAAGCATAGCACTGAGAATCTAAAGCTGCTTCCACATGAGTTCGATCCCCGCCTGCCCCGGAGGTGACCACATGGCGCGGCAGACCTCTCCTGACCCGCCCGCTGCTCCCCTCAGCAGTGTACTTCGTCGATCTGCCTGTTCTGCTCCCCACTCTGTCTCTGGTGAAGCCTCTCACTGCCCCTGAGCCTCTGGCCTGTACCCCAGTTCTGTATGCACAAATAAATAAATCTTTCTTTAAAAACAAAATATCGAGCAGCGATGGCATGTCATTCCCAGTGTTTTGCCCTGGAAGGAGGCGAGAGGCGGGGCAGGCTGAGAAGTCAGGAGGCTTCTTTCACTGAGAGGAGGCCCTAGCTCGTTTACCTAGCTCATGCATTTCAGCATCTTGGCACCTGTTTGCTGTACCTGTAAATCAGATGTTAGAAGTTAACATCAAAGCTTGGCTTTGAAATAATAGATGTGACAGCTCTTAGAAAGTGCAAAGTGTTCCTCGTAAAGGTTATTAATACAATCGATTTCCCTTTTCCTCCTTAGATATTTTGCGCTTCAGAGATATTTCCTTTTTGGCAACCTCCCTCTCTCTCTTTGCAATAAATTCCTCCTCCCCGGCTGCTGGGGGTGTGGCCAGATGTGCAGCCAGGACCACCCCCCGCGACACATTCTCTGCCGTGTGCCTGTGAGTTCAGGGCCTGAGCTCTGGGGCTCGGGCTGGGGTCTTCACCGCGCTGCAGAGCGACTGTGGCTCACCGGCTGCCCCCACCGCCGGTTTTCCACTCACTGAGTGGAGTCTGGGCAGAGAGTCCGTTGGCAGGAGGTGGCCGTCCACCTGCAGGGGGGAAAGCAGCAGTGTTCAAGGGGGAGGCTGGCCACACCTGATGGCACGGGTTTCGGGGCCCCTGGGAAATGCACCCTGCCCCACAGTATTTCTGCTGCGGTCATGGGGCGGCTGGAGAGTCAGGGCTTTTAGTTGAAGCTCTACTTCTCCCGCCCTCTCTCCACAGACTTGCCTCTGACTCTTGTTCACCACAGACTTTGTTCCCCAGGAGTGGACTCGAGGGGCGGGAGCTAGTCATTTGATGAGTTGCTCCATGTCTATCTATCACCCCATCACCAGCATCAAGCACTACTGCAAGAACATCTAGCGCCAAATGATAGATTAATAAACTGGCTTAATTTACATTTAAAAACCCTGGTGAGGAGGGCTTTTCTCTTAAGTGCCTACTCTTCACCTTCTGCTCTGCACAGCCTTTCATGTGTGTTAGTTGGGTTTGTGTTGGTTTTTACAAACCCTATGTCCTATCAGCTGCAAATACCTGCAGCGTTTTGCTTGTGATTTTTAAAAATAATGATTATAAATTTAGTGAAATTCATTATTGTTTTATTAATTTCTTTCATTGTTTATTCTTCAAAGCAGAAGGAAAAGAAAAATACCAGATAGTTTCACTTATAGGATCAGTAAAAAAAAAGTAATTATAATGCAATTAAAATCAGTAGGCAGCTATAAACCAGAGACATGCAGCAGGGAGGAGAAAGTCGGCACAAAACAGGGTGGGAAGAGCGATGGGACTATGGGGGTGGCT